GATTTATCACGTGGTAATAAAAGCCAAGCGTATATATATGTACAATCGCGTTTTTAACGCTTGTGCGCGCGCTGACTCCGTGCAATGGCCTTGTCGGCGAATAATCGCGCACGTGCGACACAATGTATCTATTATATTTCTATCTATTCATTGTTGCGCAACTGAACGATTGCCGACTCTTTCGCGCGTATTATGTACTCTATTTTTTACCTCCATTTCTGTTGGTAGGTGCAACGACTTTTTTTTTTTTTCGTAAATTGTGTATCGGAGGAGGGGGTATGCGCTTGATTACGGTGGTGGTGCTGATTAATGCCACGGAATTTCGTCGAGTTGCTCAACTGGATTAACTGGACGAAGAGAGAGAGAGAGAGGCGTTGATGTAATTTATATCGCGATGTTAATTAATTGCAGAAATTATGGACTCTCGGATGCCGAGTCGGTGTATCATGTCGCGCGTTGTTTGTAACGTAGGTATTATTTTTTTTCCTTTACTATGGAACAACATTTATAAGTGATGAATAATGGCGCTTCGATGGAAAAGTGTGATTTAATGGACCCGTGTAGACATGCGTCCATACGTAAAGACCGTCGACTGCGGGACTAATTTGAATTTTATTGCTCATGGAGTTCTTTGAATGATCTTTTTTTCATTCAAGCCAGTGAGCTTTCATCGATCGAACGTCGTGTACGTCATAAAAGCTCACCCAATGAAAAAAAGTAGATCTTTCGGAAAGAGTAAAAAACCAACTAACATAAGGTAAATGCATTCAATTAACCACGATTCAATTACACGATTTGTGATACTTTACGACCCGTGACATTTCACCACGTAAGTATATACTGGGCTGTAAAATTAATACAGTCCCAGATGGTCGTAAAACAATTCGCGCACCCGTGGAAAATTATACACCAGTGCTTTATCCCCTTTGCACCCATCACCCACATCCATGCGCTCGTCCGAGGGAAGCCAAAGTTACACCGAAGCGCGCCATCGGCTCCGAGTACGAAATCCACGTCAGCTGCCTTACACCGGTAACGAGTCGTTCTCAACTTTATGATGTACATTATTACACGTGCCCACCCAGAACATTGTCAAATTCAATCTCTACTTGCCCTACTGACTCCTCATCATTTTTTCCACAGTTAAAGTCCCGATTGAGCGTCCCCCGAAGCAACGACCTCGGGATTAATTGTAAAACATCGCTTCCGGCTCCGGTGAGCCTTAACACGCGAAAATGAAATATCGTTGGTCCGTTCGACTTTGCCGTGGTCCTTATACGTGACAATCCGCACAAGAAGAGCGCAGAACTGTACGTCAGGGGCAGCACACCGGTTCGTTTTGACGGAAGAGGCCAAGCTACGCGACCTATTAACAATGGCCCTCGTTCTTGCCTCAGGTGTAAGACTCGATATTATATATTACAGACTCGGGGGAGCTACGACTAGAGTACATGCGTGTGTATATATATATATATATATTTATAACTGGTAGTGGTAGCCGCCTCCTCCCCTCTCTCTAGCGCTAACAAGACGAAACTCGAGTGTTATGGCTCTCGGGGACTATGTCGTTGTCGTTTGCCGTCTCTGCTCCTCCTGTATGTATAATAATAATACTCCTCGGCGCGAAAGGTCTTGGCGCAATTTGCCTTAATAAATTCCGACATGTCTCTGACGCTTTATGGATGGGCTCCTCGCGCCGCGCGGTACACGGCAAGGGAGTGCATGCAGGGCTGTTATTGTCAAAGTTATCTTCCATTCGCGGTATTTTAATTCGCTGCTCTCTCTTGTCGTTCATGATTTAGCTCCACTCGATTGTCGCGAGCTGCAATTTGTGTTTATTTGCGTCGCTTCGTTCTGGAATGCACTTACGACTAGCGGGGGGTTCCGCGTCAATGTGCCATTTTTCGCGCCCATATATAAATATACGCTCCACTAGATTTTTCTTCCAATTGATTTTAGTCCTTTTCTCCGAGACTCGTCAATTAACGAGCTGCGACGGACACTTTCATTTTCGAACACCGATACCAAGGTGGATCACGTTTTTCCCGTCTTCGTTTTCCATTTTCGGTGGGTAGGTCCAGTCACCGACAGCCGATACACCAGCTACAATAATCGTGCCTCTTCTTCAAGCCGCCGCTGCTGGGATTAATAACCAAGGAGAGATAGCCATCGTCGTCGTCGTCGTCCTCGTATTTCATCTCACAGGAAACTTTAGGAGCAATTCAATTTATGGATGCGCATGCGCCCCCCCCCCTCCCCATCCCTCGTGCGTGTATACACACGAGGGCCACTAAATCATCGTTGACTTATCGACACCATTGTTGCCGCCCGATGATTTATCGCACGGATCGTTATATCTCGATGGGCGGAAATATAATGATTCTTTTTTGTCTCCTTTTTTTTAACTGTTCATTATTTCGCGAGGTGAAAGAGAACGGTCAATTTGTCGAGCAGAGTTGTTGCGGCGAGCCGCTCGATCACGGCGACCGCGTTCCGGGCCCTTTCGCTTCTTTTCTGCCCTTGATATAGTCCGTCGATCCGGAGCGATTGATCGATAACGAAAATTACGGATTCCCAATGGACGATGCTGCCGGAGGAGGGGGGTCAGCTAGTAAACTATACACATATAGTTCGGGAAAGTGGAGCGCGGGACTCGCATACACCAGCAGGAGTCGTCCCTCCGGAGAACGTGTGGACGGGGGTTGGGAGGGGGGACGATGGGCGATAGTAGTATAATGTAGGGGGTCGGAGGCGAAAGGGAGAAAGGGAGGATAGAATGAGCGGCGCACAATAATCGGCGGCATCCGTGGTAGCCCTGGAACTAAAGGTTGCGCGAGGCTCATCGATCCGCCACTCATGTGTGAAATAACTTGGATAACGGATATGTGCCCGGGCCGTGTATATCATACACTGTATGTATTGGGGTATGAAGGGCGCTATTTAGGGTACCTTGTACCAGCGAGCCTCAGCTGCTTCGCATACACGCAGCGTTGCACCACGTGTAAGCTACTTTTTTTTAAATTTTTTTTAGTTTTCTTTTTTTTTTTTTCGTCTCTCCCTTGTACCCTCTAAACGCATACACGTATACCTTTCAGGGGGGTTATGCTAATGTCCGGGATTATTGCTTATGGATGTTCCGATGCTGCTCCGGACAGAACTCGATCAGCCGGATACGCGTCGTTCGATCGTCTACCTCGGCTCTTCTTTTTTTTCCCCCTTTCGCTCGGCACGTAGGAGTAAAGCGTACTTGTAACATGCCGGGACACTCTGCAATTTTATGTTTTATCATTTGTGCATCCATCCGCGTTGAATTTATTTTTTTTTCAATCAAATTGACGAATTTCCGGAATATCGCATTACACGCGTGATAAATGAACCACCGGTCCAACTGAATCGCAACATAAATCGCGGCCCGCGCGTTTCTAATGTAAATTATTAATCGACAGCCGGTGGCATTAATTCAGCCAAAGCATCTCATTTTGCCGTCGGGTGACTTATCAGCGGCGCCTCGGGCATCCTCGAGAGCCGCTCTCGAGAAACTCGAAGGACGAAGACGACGGAATGCTGCCTCGCGCATACATTACGTATACCCTATACGCTGTACATCAGCAGCAGCAGTGGCTGTTCCGATTACTTCATTGATGAATAAGCCCGTTTTCATGCATACCGTATGAGGGGGAAGGAGCTGTACCGCGCATGTACAGCAGCGGGCGAGCTGGGGGTGGAAAAAAACCACCCCTTGACGCAGAGACGACACGCGACGAATCTCTCATTCGCGACATCGGGCGTAATTCCTCGCGCGCTTTTTTTTGATTTTTCGACTCCTCTCGCCCCTGCACGATGCATAACGATTGGATCCCCTGCCAACCCTCTTACCATCTCTCTTATGTACTTCTGTCACAGCTAGACGTCAAAGGATTCTTTTTACCCACGTAGCGGATGGATCCGCGAGTTGCGGGAAATATTGATCGATCACTCGTGCGTATCTTAGTTACGGGCTGCTTTTCTCCTCCCCGTATACAGATGTAATCTCCCCTTTGCTGATGGAAACACTTTTCTTTTTTTTTTTTTTTCTTCTTCCCCTTTCCAGTCGCGTGGGTGTTCGATTTGGTGAAAACTCTAATGACACAGCCGTACGGATGGGTGTTGGAAACAAAAAGTCACGATGGATCAAACAAATTACAAACCTACGAAAGCTCCCCACCGTCTAATCGGTCGAGGGAGGGAAAAATTTTCAATTTCGCTTGTAAAAACCTGTGGGGGAGCTGGGAATCCCCCGAGTGACCAAAAAACAAAACCGATAATAACCCCACCGAAGCACCATCTCCTCCTACCGATACTTCAACTCCTGCGTACAGTAGAAGGAGAGAGAGAGAGAAAGAGGGTGCATCGGCGCTCCCATAAATATGTCGTCAGCTAGCGGTAAACAAGCGTGCATATGAAATCGCTATACGCGAGCACGCGTCCCTGTATCAACCACCCACTTTCTACTACCCCCTCCCCCCTCCTCAACTTGGTTGCAAGAGCGTAGCAGCCCGCGGGGGATGAAGCCTCCCTTTCCAGTGCACCCACCCGCCTGTATCCGGAAAATTTATCGTTCGCTCGGAGCGCTCTCTTACTGCTGCTGCTTTTACCTACTGCGCCATTGTAGCTCCTCCTCCTCTTCCTCCTCCTTCTCCTGATGTGCTTTACATATCACGCGTAAGAAAAGGGACTCCGAGAGGAGCTTCGGAGAAAAACTCGGCGCTACTATGTATACCACTCGCGCTTGGCTGCGCTAAAAATCGGAAATCGGGTTCGAGCTCTCTCGTTGCGTGGGTGGTGTGTAAACCGTATACCTGTACGTAAGAGCAAAAAGAGACTTTTTATTCCGATGGTTGTCGGCTTGTTTTTACATTGTACACGCTCGCTACGTCTTGTTGTAAAGTGAAAAGTATTTATGGTACGCCCTATTTGCGCTGCTTGTCACGTCGTGCATCGGTGCAACGTTTTGTGTATTCTTTTTTTTTTTTTTTTTTCTCCACCAAACCATGAAAGATGGATCATCGACTCTATCGACTGGAGCTGTTGGTAATCGGTAATGAATAATATTTAATTCACTAAAAGATTACAGAGCAGAGTGACATCGTTCGGTGCAGGTAAAAAAAAGTCCCACCGTATTTCAAAGCTAGCACTACAAGTATAAATTTAATTCTCAAAGTCATCGATGTTGTCGATGGCACAATGAACGAGGTAGGGCCAGTTGCAGATGCGTAGGTCCTCATCGTAGTAAAGATTGTCCGGGCATTTGTAATTGTGCCTGATGAATCCCCCGTTGCCATCGGGCTGGCAATAGTAGTAGACAGAACAATTGAAAGGATCCCGCTCGTACCCCGCATCATTGCACGATACCGAGTTCTGCGTCGATGACGAGACTGTCGTCGCGGTGGAAGAGCCAGACGTCGAAGACGAAGCTTTTGACGTCGTTGATGGCAAAGCAACACCTTTGCGCAAAACTTTGTTCAGAGCCCTCAAAAGAGGATATTTGTCCCCGCAAATGCCCTTGAAGTCGTCGGCTTCGATGCTCCAGATCATGGCACCGCCGAGGCCCAATTTATTCACGTATTCCGCCTTTTCCGTGATTGATCTAAAAACATTTGCTTTGAGTTATGTTTATTTAATTACATCATGATATCATTATTTACCCAGCAAGACATTTGCAAAGCTTCGATGATAACTTTTTCACGTTCGGAAAAAAATAAAACAAGCAATCGTTGTCATCCACGATCATCGAGAAACAGGTACGCAAAAAGTATTTCATTGTCTCAGTCTTATCATTGTAAAAATAAGCTAGCTGGATATTAAATAAAAATAACGCCATATTCCACGTAACGCGTTTTTATCTGATAAGTCGGTTGATGCGGACAAAGCTCGATCATTTTTTTTTTTTCGGTCCCACTGACTCACCTGTCGTCGTCATAACCAATCCACTGATTGCCTTTAACCGCGTAAGGCACGCGCTGCTCCTTGTTGAAATGAATTTTCCATTTTTCCTTCATATTGGATTCGCAAAATTCGTTGTAGTTCAAGTGCCCGGTCTGCTGGGAGTAGGGACCGGCGTTACCTCCCTGTCTCGCTGGTGCTCCGATCTTGTTGTTCCCGGAGTCGTCCAGAGTAAAGGTTCGACCGTACGCGGGGATTCCCAACACAATTTTCTCGCGTGGAGCACCGCTGGATATCCAATAATTGATACAGGCGTTCTTCAAAAAATCACATGGCCTTAATCGATTGTTACAAGTTACAATTGTTACCCACAAGAGAGTGTCGTATTACTACTTACAACATTGAGTTGTCTGTCGTCACCGACTTCCCACGAGCCTGGATATAGAGGCGAGTTTATACCAGTGTTCGCTTCCCAGGACCCATGGAGATCGTAGGCCATGACGTTGATGATGTCGAGGTACTGGGAGACTTCGGGCATAATGTACGACAAGCTTGACGATTTTTTAGCCCCGGCCACCGCAGCCGAGAGCAGCAGGCCTTCTTTGTCAAACCTCTCTCGCAGCTCTTTCAACAGCATGACGTAATTTTTCTTGTCCGACGGAACTCCTCCTCTCTGGTTCGGGTACTCCCAATCAAAGTCCAATCCATCAAAGTTCCACTCTTTTACGAAATTCGCCAAGTTGTTGACCAAAGTTTTGCGCAACGCGGGGTTACCGACTACCTTCGAGTACTTCATGGAGCCTTCGTTCCATCCCCCGACGGCGATGAGAGTTTTGAGGCCGGGACTCCTTTGGCGCAACTGGTTGAAAAGGTTGAAGCCATTTTTTCCTGAAGGCAGGTGAGCCCATGCGTCAAGAAGGTTGATCTGGGCGTTTTCGTTGATACCGATGAAAGTGTAGATCAGGTGAGTGCAAAGGGTCGGGTCGATTTCGGCAATGTCGGCCTTGCCATTGCCCGGTCTGTAAACAGCCCAACTGCTGTAGTAACAGACTATCTTTTCTGCAAAGTACAAGGTTTTTTTTGTCAACGTTTCCTTTCGTCGAATATATCGAGTGGGGACTTACTTTCGTTGGCTGCGTTGGCGCAGACTAGCAAAGCAGCCAATGCACAAACAATTGCTCGCATTTCCGTTGTGCTGTTGTATAGCACGGTATCACTTAAACTGACTGTCGGGTCAACAATGAGTAATCATTTATACCTATTCTTATCCGATATCCCGCGGAGAAAAACTTCCTGATAAGATCTTGGAGAGACGTTTTTTTAAAAATGTACCTTTGAAAATGTCTTGTGACACGATCGATTTTTATTCACAAAATTATCATTTTAACGAATGCAATATCGATTTCAGATTTTTTGAAATTATTTTTCTATAATTGACAGTATTCTTCGTGTATAAATTAATTGTAAAAAGTATTATAATAGTTATATATTTTGGAAGTATCATTGAAAGAGAAAGAAACACAGAACATCACAAATACAATGAGCATTGGCATCGATTTATCTCAAATTAAACTTTTTATAGAGGTATGGAAAAAAAGTTGATTTTTATTAAAACGAAAAAAATTCTTTCCATTTAGAATCAGTAATAAAAGTATTTTTTTTAAAGTATGCACAAATAAGTGTCATCGCATTAATAATTATCATGCATACAATCATCACATTTATCTATACACATTTTAATTGTGAAGCTTGTGCGATTCTATTTATGATATCCACCACAGCCAATTTTCTTTTGTGTTGCCTTCGGATGGCCCTTTAGTGGCAATGCGATTTTTTCCTAACAAAAGAAATATTATAAAAAATAATCATTAACCTTACAAAAACGCAATAAATTAAAAAAAAAAAAAAAAAAAAAAACTCGAATACAAATTTTAGAAATAAATTCATGGAGTGAATATCCATGAAAGCGCAGGAAAAGCCAAAAAGTCGCTCTTCCCAATCATCTTTGTTTTACTCTCTGCCGGCCCGGAGTTATGGCCAAAAAGCTCGCATTTCGAATTAAAAGCGCGCACTTTCTCTCTCGCTTTTCGCATCTCTTCTGTCCGCGTTCCGCCCAGAGTTGTGACTCTCATCCTTCCCGCGCGTGTCGATTTTCCATCAGCGGGCTCAAGTGGAAAATTCGATGGAACTACTTGGCCAGCGCACATATCACGCGTCTGTTTCAACCCTTCCATTTCGGTTCAGGGCTTATGTGCACCCCGTCGATGTAATCGAAATGAAATGCACGCCTATCGGGTGATTAATCGGATTTCACTGTATTGCTTTTCTGGATTTTTCGTATATACGAGTGTACATGCGAGGCGAATAAAAAGGAGGGAGAATGAGAGTGAATTGGTAGAGAAATGGGAGGGGGTTAGATGCGCATACGTTGTCAAATAAACGAAATTTTTTTTTTTTTACATTTTTTAACTCTGTGAAATGACAAAAAAAATTGACAAATAAGCAAATTTGCTCAAAGCCAGTAAAGATATTTAATGTATGATGAAATTTCTAATTTGAGTCAGATAAAAGATTAGGTATAAAAAATGAACCAATAGCCATGCTCTAAAGAATGCATGCATTATTAATAGCTGCTTTAACAGTAAGTTTAATTAAAAACCAAGTCTTCGTTGACGCTTAAGGAATCAATAAAAAATTGGCACGCAGTCAACTTTATCGGGGTCGTCGCATGAGTTATTTTTTTCATTAAAATGTTTGTTATTTGGACACTGTAGCCTGAACTTGTTGTATCCGCCATTTCCGTCGGGCATACAGTGGTAAAAGACAGCGCAGTCGTAAAAGTCACGTACGTAGCCGGCAGACGTGCACTGGGGTTCAACAGCATGAGGCGGAGCCTTGGTTGTAGTTGGAAGGGGCGGCAGAGCCTGTCCGTTGCGAAGAATGTGATTTAAGGTTTTCAGGAGAGGATACTTTGCACCACAAATTCCTCGGAAGTCGTCCGTTTCGATGCTCCAGATCATGGCACCCCCGAGCCCCAAAGTTTTCACAAATTCGGCCTTTTCAGTTACGGATCTAAAAAAAAAGTATGTAAATAAAAAAAATAAAAAAATAAAATCATGGTTTACCGCTCAAAACGTGTATTTGACTGTTGCGCCAGTTTACGTTCAACTGTATAGTTTTTCCTCGATTGTATACACATTTATAGAAAACAGTAGCTTAGCTGAGATATTCTCTCAAATTAGGCAGTTCATATACATTGTACTCAAGTAGTACTCGTACATAGTATTCTCAATACAATTTAATACTTATTTTACTATTTAACTGTAGTCAAATGTGATTACGGTATTTGTAGAGTCGTTTGAAAAGCCCTTTTTCTTTTTTTTATAAAATCTTGGTATCAAATCACTGTAAGCACTAATCTTTCTACAATAATTTTTTATCACACACGTAAAGTTGTGCAATACTCGATTTCATATGAACATCTAATCTTGATTTTATAGATTAGGTAAAATATCAACATACTTTTTCATTGTTAGCAAATATTAACACACATAAACTTACTTGACATTATCATAGCCAACCCATTGGTCGCCCTTGACCGCGTAAGGCACACGTTGTTCTTCTTGAAAATAAACCTCCCAATCTTCTTCGTTGAGCTGCATCTCGCATATTTCATTGTAGCCTAAACTACTTTTTTCTCTTGTGTACGGTCCAGCCCTGCCAGGTCCAGTCGTAGGAGCTCCGATCCTGTTATTCTTCGGATCTTTTAGGGTGAAAGTTCGTCCATACGTGGGGATTCCCAAGACGAGTTTTTCACGTGTGGCACCTTCGGATAACCAATAATTTATCGACTCGTTCTGTGAAGCCAAATTTTTCGTATTAAAATCTCAAAGGTTCTTCACATGATCCACTTGTACTCACCACATTAAGGAGTCTTTCGTCCCCTGTTTCCCAAGAGCCTGGGTAAAAAGGTGCATTAATTCCAGTTTTGTTGTCCCACTCTCCGTGCAAATCGTAAATCATTAGACTTACAATGTCGAGGTACTTGACTATTTCGGGTATGATGTAAGATTTTTTGGCCGACGACGAGGCTCCACCAACAGCGGCAGTCAGTAGTAGCCCGGCCTCGTCGCATCTTTTTCTCAACTCTCGCAGCAGCAGCACGAAATTCCGTCTGTCAGCTTTCGATGAACCTTCCCTTTGATTGGGATACTCCCAATCGAAGTCGAGCCCGTCGAAGCCATACTTTCTCGCGAACCGCACCAAATTGTCGGCTAATTTCACGCGCAACGCAGGATCGGCTGCCACCACCGAGTAGTTGCGAGACCCTTGATTCCAGCCACCCACGGCTATCAGGGTCCTTGTATCGGGACTCGTACCTCGGAGTTGATTGAAGATAGCATAGCCATTTTTACCACCTCCATCCGGCAGGTCTGCCCACCTGTCCAAGATAACTACGTCTGCGTTTTCTTCAATCCCGATGAACGTGTAGACCAGGTGAGTGCAAAGAGTCGGGTCGATGTCGGAAATCTCAAACAGACCATTACCGGGACGGTAAACGGCCCAACTGCCAAAGTAGCACACTATTTTTTCTAAAAACCCGGGGAAATAAGAATTTTTTTTTGTGGTCAGCCTGCTTTGGTAGATTTTCTTCAAAAATTGAAATAATTTCGGTGGCACTTACTTTTGTCAACTTTAGCGGTAACGTAAGCTACCAGAGCCAATACGGCTATCAAAAAATTGGCTCTCATCGCGGTAATGTACTCATTCCGTTGTTTCTCGACAACTGAGCCCTTCCTCGATTATTGACAGCACTGTTTTTTTTTTTTTTTTTTTTTTTACAGATTTCATTGATTTGGTTATCAGACTTTGAAAGACGGGTCTACGATAACTCTTTATCGATCGCTCGGATAAGTAATAAAATTGAATTTTCGGGAGCGAAAGACTCCAATAGTAATACGCTCTCGCGCATGTAACGCTGTTTGTAATATTACATTTTTTAAATTATCAGTAGTAAATAAATCATTATACATAATATGTACAATGGTCTTTATGTTGGTTTGTTTGCCGAGAAAATTTTTTATTCGTGAATTTCTATCCTCCACCAGACTAGGTATGTACATGTCAAACGTGATGGTAACACAGCACATGCAATCTTGCAACATATCGTTAGGAAGCGCATTTCGAATTAAACGCATGACAGATAAAAGCCTCCCGCTTCTCGCTTCCCATTCAACGGTCGATTTTCCATTGGTGACTCAAGTGGAAAATTCGATAAAATCGCTACTTTGCCGGGGCAAATTCACTGCTGTAATGCTGCACGAGAGATGAAATGTTGGCTCCATTCGGTGGGAACCCAAGGTTTTGCTTCGATTAATCGGATTTCATCGTTTCACCCAGGCTCGTGTTTCAAATTTTTCACTCCCGTTGACAAAGACCAAAAACATGCGTAATTGTATTATTGCTACGAAGATTGCTCACACTCGTGTCTTTTCAACCAAGTTATACTCTAAAAACAATGATTTTTTTTTTTTTTTTTTTTTTTTTTTAATAACAGTAAACATATGTATCTGATGTAAAGTATTGTTGTAACTAGTGAGTTTGTTGATAAATAAAGTACTGGATGGTCTCAAGAATTTTCAATACTTGGTTTCAGTCGCAAAAATTTTTGTTCTTTAGTCAAACTCAATTGTTATGAAATCATTGGAGTGGTTTAATCTTGAGAATCGCTCGACTCCCAGCTTATCTTGAGATAATGTATTATTCCCCCACATTATTTTTATGTACGTTCAATAGTTCAGTGAGATAATTCCATGAGTGAAATATATTACATAGGTAGTATAAGGCTAAAAAACAGATCTATCAAATTCAGTTTGGCAACAGATATCATAATCTCAATGAACCAGCGCTACCAGTTGATAAATAATATTTTATTATTATTTAATATTATAATCAATAATAATCTACAGTTTATAAAAGCATACGTTTCTTACCTGCATGATATCTGGTGCTGATAAAAATAATTTTTACAGTATCTTGCGTTGATAAAAGTAAACTTCTACTATGTCGAGTGTAGTTATTCGAAAACATAATTATAGTTGACGGTTGCAAAAACAGGTATTTCATTAATTTATGCAATATCTAGTGTTAATCAGACATATTTCTATATTTTTAGTAACAGTCTATTTCTGCAAAACATTGTCACAACGCTACTATACTAAATGATGAATTTTTCTTATGGTCATCAGTGTGTAAAATAATGTAAATGTCAATGTAAGAAAATAGAAGAAAACCAACACAAAAATTTAATCATGCAAAGCCATTAATGTTTATTATGAATTGAAAGCAGGAAAACTACACCAAAAAAAAAGGGAAATAAGGAGAAATCTTGTAATTTTTATGACTTGTTATTTTTATTGAAAGCGGATTTGACAGAAAATGTAGCTATTTTAGTGAAAATTGTGATTCGCAATGCATCGCAAAGTTAACAGTTGCGCCGTCAACATTTGATATCATTCGGACGCTGCCGCGCTATTATGCTCATTCAAAGGCACGAGATATTATTTTTTTGCATACTACCTACATGCAAGTCGCAGCTAATTTTTAACTATTTACAAAATAAATTGTATGCGTGTGAAGGGGTGGAGTTAAATATTGACAGATTTTTACGTTACAACGGGCCAAACATTACTTTCTTTCAAGTTTACAAAATATACTCTTTGCTTTTTTTACTCGTCTAGCGCGTTTTCCTCATTCTTTTCCACCACATCGTCAAATTCGTCTCTATACCCCGAGCCGTTTTGCACTAAGGTAAAACATTGCGTTCCAGAGCACCATTGTTGCGCGAATTATTTACAGATTTCGTCTTGCTAAGAAACTCGTAGGCATAACGTGGAGGAAAAAACATTACACAGAGGAGTAAGAAGTTACTGATAAAAATTATTAATAATAAAAACACTATTCGCCATCCCGCTTCGCAGGCGTCAGGAAACGAGGAACAGAGATTGACTATTTATACCGCAAAATTCTATGCCTGGCGTTTCAGTCTTTAAAGTGAGGCTCTTGCACTTTCTTGGATTGGAAAAAAAAACAACAACAACATTGATCTCGCATTTACATTTAAGTACATGGAATAAATATTTATAAATTTTATATTCAACAAAGAAGACGATAGATGGGTAAATAATTTAGTTTAGTTTTACATCGATTGACAACCAAGATAAAAAAAAAAAAAAAAAAATTGCATCACGAGAGCGACGATCCATCGCGAAAGACTTTTGCGTGCGCATCCGGTAAATGTCTCATTACCAAAATCCAAAAGTTTGGAGGATCTCTTGTGCTCTGTGTGTGAAAGAAAAAAAAAAAAAAAAAAAAACAATCTCGTCTTCGATCTCGACAATCAAAGAGAGTAGTTTTCGCGTGACATGATAAAACAACATTTCCGACCACGGCATAAAATTTCGCCAGAACAGATTCAGGAAAGCTCAAAGGAAATTTATAAACAACTCAAGCGTTCGCCTACATTATACAAAATATCTATCGTAAAATAATAATAGTGATAATAATAATAATTATTATTATTATGATAATGATTATAATATATATTCACAAAGTAAATAAGATCACAAGCGTCTACGGAATCCCTAGGACATCCGGGTAAAAAAAAAAATTATATAACATAATACACACTCGTTGCGTGGCTATGCTTACGTGTAAAAAACTCTCTATTATCAAATAAATCAATTAAAAGTTAAAAAAAAAAAAAAAAGTGGAAAGGGCGGATTTTCTATTTACAAGCGTCGTTCGATATACCTTTATTTTCAGCACATCTTATCCTCTCTTTGAGAGAATGTCCTTTTCACTTTCGTATCACAAGTACCTGCGCTTTCATTTCGCTTATTTACGTTCATTGTACACAGAATCTATCGACCGTTGTCGTTGGCTCATGAAAAAGACACTTTATCAATTGTGAAAAAAAAAAACACCTGTACAACACATTATTGAAATACAACTCTCGGTTTGTCTGCAGATTAATTGTTACATAACCAAGGACGCGAGGAACCACGGCTGATAATTTTTCAAGTTTTTTGTCTCCAAAGCGAAACAAATTGCGCGTACTTGAATAAATTACAAACGCGTATTAAGCCATGGACAAGCATTCGCAAGCGTAGGCGTAAAATTAACCAAATACACAAAACGACGTTCCTCTTGTATCTTCTTGGATGTTTGTTTTTTCTTTTTTTCTTCGATTTTTTCCAACACAACTCCACGTCGATCTTTTCTCTCGCTTTTTTTTTTATTACCTTCCTCAACGCCACATCTCTCGAACGACGCGCAAGGACTAGGCTCTCTCCCGCGCGACCTTGCGTAAACGGCAGGGGACGCGATTTCCTCGTTGTTCATCTTTTCTATACAGGTTTTACTGTTTGCGCTTGTTCCTTCGATTACGACAGACAGCATACGACACTTAAATCGCTCGTCCACCGTGACATCCTCGTGCAGCCGAATACGCGCGCCTCGGGACTTTGAGGGGCGGGAGAGCACACCATTTGCTTCGGAGCTTAGGTAACTAGAGGTCGATGGCTTCCTTGAGCGCGGCCAGCTGTTCCTCGCCGAGTTTCACCTTGTCCTGGATCTCGCGGCTCTCCACAATCAGCTTGGCCTTCATATTGATGAAGTGCTGGTAATCGGCGAACTCCTCGTCGTTCAGGTACTTGGCCAGTATGTTGGACACGTTGATGCTGCGACGGTCAATGTTGCTCTTCAGGATCTTCGCCTCCTCCAACTGGTCGATCAGCTTGTCTCGCTTGGCCTCGAGCACTTTCTGAAATTTCATTCGTTTCCCGATACAATGAGCATACATTGTTTTTTTTTTTAAATCTGTTGCATCGATGTTTATATCAAGTACAAAAAGTGTCCTCACCCTTTCGGCGTGATCGGCGGGCATGCCGTACAGGGCGTTCTCGGCGCGGGCGAGTCGACCACTGAGCCCGAGCAGTAGACTGGTGATCTTGCCGACCTCCTCGACGTGCAGCTTGTACTTGGAAGCCTCGGCCGGTCTCGCGACGGTGGTAACCCGTGTGCCTACTCGCGCGCCCAGCCCCTCGTTCACCTCGCCCTCCTCGCGGACGGCCTCCTGCTCGGCCCTCAGTACGACCAGTTTCTTGTCCAATCTGATCATCAACTCCTCCTACAAACAAACAGGTTTCTCCATTACTGATACCCGTACGCGATATACGTACATATATACCTTGGCCCACTCAAGGCCACGATTTTGCAAGCTATTGTGCGATCGAGGATTTTTATTTCGAGCGATTCTATCTGTACATTGTACTTAAAGGTTGGTGCTACCAAAACCTCTGGAGATTCATATAAATTTACGACACGTAGGTATAATAATGCTCGTACTATATTTCACTATCTATAACTATCTTGTAACTATTATTCAAGTCCAAATATCGAGTCGGGCAAAAAAATCGTGGTCTTGTTTTTCGAGTGCGAGTAAACTTTAACTAACGTCTTTTTATCCCCGTTGTCGTTTGTCGTTCCGATCCGCAGACTCATTTTGTTACATAAATCTCGAAATGAAATATTACGCGAGCCTCGGGAGGAAAAAAAAAATAACACGATCTCCTTCTTCCCCTCTCTGTTTGCACGGGAAATAATAGATGCGTATCCTGGCAGCCGATCTGCCATCGTAGATCCATCAAACATCAGAGAGACACTTGATCGCTCGCTCGCTAAATGTAATATACCTTACCTTCTTCTGGCGAAGGTCGAGATTGTCCGGTGCCACTGCCCCTGTCGTCGTCGTATTATTCGTATTCGTCGACGTCGAGTTGATTGACGTGCAAGTAGCAGCGGGAGGGGCTGCCGGCTGAGCCGTGACTTGCTCGCCAACGACGACCGCGTCCTGCGAGTACCTCGTTAGGAAGCGGGCCTTGCTCTCGGAAGTCGTGAAGTACACCGAGTTGGGCGAGAGCGGACTGCTTGAGGAGTCGGCCGTTGTTGTGGTGGCCGATGGCGTCACTGGCGTTGATGGTATCGAGTCGATCCTGAAACGAGACGTTTTCGTTGTTGCGGTTTCGATTAATTGTTGCTCTACTACAGGTGGTCTTGCATCGCTCTGGGCTTTACTCTATGGCCAAAGGTATATTGCCTTGCGGTATGTTTGGTTTTCTTTTTTTTTTTTTTTTTTTTTTGTGCGGTCAAGGACGGGATTATTCAATGGCTTGTCTATAATCGTTCAATCAAATCATAGAAGACATTACCAAATCTCTCCTGTGGGATAAATCTAGTGGTGGATCACTTTCGGCTTTGATTTTATGGGTCATGGAGTTCGTAACCGCATTTACGTGTGATGCATGAATTAATCTGGAGTCTTTGTGCTTGTGTACAAAAATCAGACAAATTAGACCTCCCAACAATGGACTGAGCATTTTTATTTCATTTATTCAACGACTCCATGGTATAATGAAAAAAATCAACTATGGGTTACGTAGTTGATAAATTCATTCGCCACTTGTATACGTATTGAAGTATTTTTTTCGCTTTCTTAAGGAAAAAAAAGAAATACACACAAGAGTCGGCTCACTTTCTCTGGGGTCTATTTTACCGCAACTGCTCGGAGGATAAATTTACGAGAGAAGTAGCCTTGTGACTCGAATTTCGAAACGTTTCGCATCGATTTGCAAAGTATTAAAAAAAAATAGAAACCGATCAAAAAGCCAAACGATAGTCAAGTAGCTTCTGCAATGTTTAGCTTAGGGTTACCACATTGATTTACATTATTGTGTGGCCGTCAAAAAGTAACGTCCAACCATTCGAGAGACGGAGTATAAAGATAGAGAGAAAATAAGAAGTAGATGTTCGCAACAAAAGAAAAATCCACGCTACGAGACGATATAGCCCGCGCTTCCTCTAAATAATTACAATTACATCACGAAGGAATGTTAAAAAGCGCCTCGAAAATTGCACCGGCTCTGTATAGTTCGCGAATCGTGCTTGCAGCGGGTAATTACGGAAAAATGCGCATCGCGAGTCGCCTAGACCAGCTCCTCCTTCACCTCCGCTCTCTCTACACATATATAGCTTCTCTAAATATACACGTATACGTATACACATTGCCCGGGGAGCTCACATCTCACCTTATATATTTTGAAAACAGAGTTGGCTATCATCCGTTGCATCAGTCGTGAGTCATCGTTGGGGCTACGAGTAGTGAATCAATCGCTCGTTTTCAAGGCGCGGATAACGGTATTGTACGGCAACATGAGATACCTACATGTATACACGCGAGTTGCTTCGATTCGAGCGCTCAGCTCTATGCCTTTTCTTTCATTATTCCTCTCTTTCCTTCTTTTTTTTCGTGTCTCTCTCTCTCTCTCTCTCTCTCTACTCCTTTTTCCTTGTCTATCTGTGTGGGTACTACATATTGCTGAGGCGCCGCACGAGTGCGTGCTTCTTCTTTGTCGAAGCAGAGAGGCAGGACTGAAGGAACATCAGAGAGAGAGAGAGAGAGAGAGAGAGAGAGAGGAGGGAGGGAAGTCGTTATTAAATGGCCGTGATGCTCGAGAGAGCTTTTGCTCATTTTCCGCGAAGCCCTTTGCGCGAGGGCATTATCCCTCCCCCGGATGGCTATCTGCTGTTTTTCGGATTTTTTTATCGGGGCGAGCGCACAGCTCCAATGATAATTGGGCCCCTTGTAAGACGCCGGAGGAGAACAGAGAGAGGCCCTTTTTTTTCATCTACATGTATTGTAGGGTCGTTTTATGACATTGCAAAGTAAAACCTCCCGTCTCTGGAAAACTGCGAGTTTCACCTGCAAATTGTTTTGAGTCTCGTTTTAACAATTAACGATTAACAAGACCAGATTCCTTACACAAATGTTCAGTCGCGCTGATGATTGTCTTTCATATCCGCGAATGATCACACAGCCTGATTAATTAGTTCTCATGGGGGCGAAAACGTTCGCTGCATGGTAAATCCCTTCCCTTCCTTTCCAAATGCAAGAGGACAAAGAGGGAAATCCGATTCGCGGCGACGAAGGTATAGTCCTGTAATCGGACAATCGGTAAGTTGATCGGAAAATTTCTCACGAATCCGAAATACATTTTTCATCAAAGCACTGTATATATATAAATACAGTGCTTGAGAGTAAGCCACGGCGTGGGCCTAATGTCACACGGGCCCGAGCACAATGACGTGCACACGCGCACACTCGTACACACCTACAATGAATGATCCCCCTCTGTTCCCACCCTTCCTCTGATACCGCGTTTTCACGCTCTCTCGTATACTTTCACTTTTCCGACTGCTAATACCACTATACGACGATTCTAATCTGTTTCATTGTGTGTGCACTACGGACGCACTTGCTTCTTTTTTCGTCGTCGAATTCGTCACCTAAGTATATACAAGTGTCAGAGTTGCTCGCGAGGCTACAACCAACACACGTACCATCGCTGTCATATATATATATACACCCGAAGAAGGTTAGCCCCTGCGCCGAGATATAACGAGAGATGGTGATGTTTCGTGCTTTTGTTCTCTCGCCCTCGCGCCGATTGCGAAAGAGACGTAATCGAGAGCATCATCCGCATTGTTATCGTTACGTAAATTGAAAATCGTCCGGCCGTGACGGCTACAGTGCGTTTTTAAAGGTGATTAATTTTCACGTGTTGAGCAAGACATAGCCACCGATTGAAATAAAGGACGCGCTTGCTCAATCTGCTTACTCGAATCAATCGAGCCTTTGGTATATACACAACACGGGTTGTTGTTATAGACATCGATGTGGAAACAGTATATTTTTTGTTAGTCGATAGGTATATAGGTGCTCGTGACACTAATTAGGTATTGGAAGCTCTAAGAAGCCCCGTACCGAAAACCCGAAGAGACACAATGAAATAAGAGCTTACATGGCTCAGCGTGGGGCGGCAGCTACTCTCACTGCAAGCACGGCATCGGAGAGATCGCGGGGGTGAAAGCGTCAGCTCGAATCACTGGATCGCGTGAAAAAGAATCATCCCCCGTGGGGCACGAGGACCGAGCACAAGGAACGACGTGCAGCATGAATGGCCGATCCAAAGCTACTGGCTCTTGCGGGCCGGGCTCGCGAAACGTATAATATCGGTATATATATACGTGTACGTGTACATTTTTCTCTCTTTCTCTTTCACGCGACATCGGGCACCGGCTGCTGGTGCAACAATAGCCGGCCCACCCCGTCCACGTGTGTCTGTGTGTTTACATATAGTATACACACGAAGCCGAGTTGCTCTCTTGACAACATCATTTATGGTTACACACGCTTGCGTAAGTGAGTATTAAAGTGCCTCCTGCACTTTCTCCTTTGCCGCCGTCCTGGTGCCGATGTATACATATATAATACGTACGGTCGTGCAGCAGCCGCGAGTCCGCGCGCGCCTGTAATCGTCGCCGGAGCGTGTTGTCCCGTGTGCCTGCACTTAACTATCATTATGATCACGGGTGATGGCTTCCTGCACAAGTGGGCCCGCGCGCTCGAGACACAAGTGTCACTATCGCACCGGCGAGCGTCGTGAGTTTGAGCAACCGACCCGGCCCCGACACTCGTATTCAATGAAAATGAGCTTGATGAAATTTTGCAAGTTATAACTATGGCCTACGTATGATTCGTTTGTTTACTCGTTGATCGTCCCTTCGTAGTCGGTCCACGTGGGACGAATGACAGTGAGGTTTCATTGATGCATCTCTATCGGGCCGTGTGCACGTGTAAACGGGGCTGCTTTTGCTAGTTCTCGTTAAAGTATTGATTGAAAATGATTGCGTGGTGATTGATGGATAACCTGATCGATTTGAATTCGTCTTTATCGAGCTATATATTCAGCATGATCGTGGCGCAATAAAATGAGGGTGATTGGGTTATTGTAAATAAAATAATTGATCTGAATCACTACCATACAGGAGTGAGATCATAATGATAATAAATAAAAAAAATGATTTTACAGTTAAGGAAAAGAAAGGCTTTTTTGCCTCCTTTTCATAAACAGTCAACTTATAGTTACACCGAAAGTGAGTCGGACGTAGTTGGATGTTAAAGATTAGTTCCTCCCGGGCCCCGATGATAAAACTCGTATGCACCACACTATGTACTCTCTGCGTCTAAACCGCTCTAAATGTAATGTCCCGCGTTCGCGGGATCGTTTGCATAATTTTCGTCCGACTCTCGTTTAAAAGAAATTCCCGAGATTTATATCCCGCGAGCGCGCTCGCAATGCGCCCTGCATTTCATTACGCGTTATAGGTACCATTATAGACCAAGCGCCGACGTGAAAGCGCCATCTCGTCGCGCGAACGAGTGTACATATTACAACAATGGGCACGCGTGCGCGCGTGTAACTCGCTATGTGTATACAAACACGCATGCAAAGGCTCGAAGAAGAAGAAGAAAAAAAAAAAAAGAAAAAGGGAGAGATGACCGCGGGGCCATATAATCAGAGTTAAGTGTTCCACTTGCAAAACGAAGAACCGGCTTATGGGCGCACACGACTTCCTTATAACGTTTTACCGTACCCCATATTGCGGAGGGAGAAAAAGTGCGCGTAGGGGTCGAATTTTCGTCTCCGGCGCTTGTACGATGATGCCACGCAATGTATAGGTGCTTTTTTTGTGTATTACATTTATATACGTATAAGCTCCGGTGCTGTAAAAGGGGAGAGAACGCGAGTGGAATTCGAAAGTCCGTCAGTTGGTTTTTCGTTTTAGAAATTCGTTTGGGGAATCCGAGCTATTGTTCGATGGGGCTTTTATACAGGTATCCCGGCTATTGGGCACGTGATTTTTTTTTTTTTTTTTTTTCACCACACGTGGGTTACTTCTGTTTCCGCGAGTCGAATGATTTTTTTTTTTTTTTTTCTTTTTCGGTACTCGTGACTCAAATGTCAATTGATCGATGGCAGGCACTTACTTTTCGGACTCGCTGTCGGACACCACTGGCTCCTCCGCCGCGATCCTTGGACGGGGTCGTGGCTGGATGACGGCAGCCTCCACCCTGAACAGGTCGACCACGTAGTCCGTGGACTTTTTGTGCTCCGGCGCTGGAACTGAATTGGAAAATATTTACACTTAATTCCTCCTTATCGAGAAAGATAGTAACAAAAAAAAAAGCACAGAGTATCTATTTTCAAATGTATAATCCACCGCTGCTCGCGAAAATCCGTGACCCGATTTCTAATCTCTCGCTGATAAACTGCGACAGCGCGAAAGCTTTTGCACGTAAGTTTCCCGACATATTCTCCCTTACGGAGTGAGGAGCGATAAAAAATTCATCGTTTCACCGTCGTCTAACCTTGAGCTCGAAAATATCCCCATGTATGACAAATGGTCAACCAACCTGTACAAATTTTGCAAATCAATCATTAACAAGTACCTCGAGCTTTTAACACTGAAACAATCGAGCGATCGTGCATCAGGACTATCGCAACGCGGGGGGATTGTCTCCGAACGCCGGTATTAATGCGCAAAGCGAGCGCCAAGCGAAAGAGGTGGGCGGGGGGGGAGTCGTGCAGGTCGCGGAGGGGAAAGAAAAAAATACGTCACTCGCGAGACACGAACAAATCGTCCATTGACATCGACGAGAAAAGAAATCGAGCCTGTACATCGGGTGGGTCGGAGGGAGAGGCGAGAGGATAAAATAAAGGCACTCGCGGGTCAACGACACGCTCGCGTCCAGCGCGCTGTGTGCCATTAACCTTCTCACCCGCACCTCCTCGCCCGTACGAACGCGCGCCGATCCCTACATTTTTAATGTTGGTATCAATTACCTTTACCACATTATCTGCTTTTCTATTTCTTTTCTTTTCTTTTTCTTTTTTTTTTTTTTTTCCTTGTTTCTCCCTCTGTGTGTACAGGAGCTTTTGAAAAATGCGGCCGGCAAGAAGCCAAGAAAAGTCGCACGCCCGGATAATTCGCTCTATTGGATCATATTGTTGCAGGGTACGTGGAAAGGGGAACGATTGACGGGCCGGCTTTTGACGTTTTCTTGTTTATTGACGCGCTCCGCGTGTATACCTCCGTACCACGCAAGGATTTCGCAATCTGTCTTTTTTAGTCGTACAAATGACATTTTTTTCTTTTCATTTTTCAATCCTCGTTAGATTTCGTTGTTTTTTTTTTTCCCTCGACTAACAACACGTAACGACGATCGCTGCACACATTTTGCAAAATGAATCGGCGCGGCGCTCGATTATATACTGAAACGACGCGTAATTTTGATTGTCGCAATCAAGTTTTTTTTTTTCAATTTATTTTACAGAGCCCACGCGTTTTAAACATAACTTCTCCGCAGTGTTAATTAATTTCAAATTAGTGACAATTATTTATTCGGAAAAAACAAGTTTTATAAACGCGTAATTACATTTTGATTGCCCGGCAATGAAATTCAACGAGTGACGGTGATTTTTCAAAACTGTTATGTCTGCAGTTTTTCTCAAGTTTTATACGACTACACTCTGTGCGTTTATCGCGGGGATAAATCACCCACCTAATTGGGCGATTGGTCAACAGGAGAGGGAGAAATAAAAAAAAAGCCAAACTCACCCAAAATCGGTAAGAGCTTGTCGTCGGGGCCGAGCCGGTTGGCCAGGTCCCTGCTGAGCTCCTCGCACTCGATCTCCTCGCGGAGCTTCTTCCTCGGTTTGGCGAGGCTCTCCTCCTCGTGCCTGATCCTCTCCTGCTTGCCGAGCTCCTCGGGCGTCTCGGTCTGCGAGGCCACGTCGTTCGTCGGGGCGTTGACCCTGAGCACGACCTCGGTCCTCTGGACGAGGGTCAGGCCCTCCGGGAGCGGCGAGGGCGAGTCGCAGGGCGAGCCAGAGCTCGTCGATAGCTTCTCGATCCTCGACTCGCTCGGCGACATTCGCACCGACGAGGCCGGACTCGACGAGCTGCTGCTCGCGGCACTGCTGATGGAGCCACTTTTACGGTCCCAACTCGAGCCGCTGCGATCGGTCTGCGTCGGGCTCGAGATCTTGCGCTCGGACGTGATGGCCGTCACTGCCATCGTCGTGCCGATCGTCGTCGTCGTTGCCATCGAGCTCGGGGTCGTCGGCGATTCCCGGGACTTGTGCGAACTGCCGATCGTACTGAAAAATCGGTATCAACGATCGGTTGAAAATTAAACCAATGTATATTTTTGCTTCAAAAAATTATAGCGTTAGAAGAGTTTTTCACTTGATGCCTAGGGGCCCTGAGTATGAAAATTACCTCCTCGGCTCGAGAGCGGCGACCCGCTGCTTCTCCGCGACGTTTCTCCGGTTGAGGATCTCGACGTTGCGCGAGGTCATTTCGATCGTCGTGACCCCGGTCTCCCGGTAAAAGTCCTCGACGAGCCGGCTCTGGGGCTCGCAGCTGGCCGCCAGCTTCCTCCTCTCCCGCTCGAGCTGTCTGTTCCTGTCGTTGAGCACCTCGACGCTCTGGGGCGACAGCCTCTCCCGGCGCTCCTGCCTCCGCGAGCCGGCATCATTCGGCAGCGAGTTTCCTTTGCTATTGTTGTCCAGGTGACTCGGCGCCGGGGCCTCGGTCGTGCTCACGTTGTGCAACGACTTGCGCGACAGGTGGTCGTCCAGCCGGTGGTTCTGGTGGTACTGCTCCAGCCCGTCCGAGCTCTGGGACTTGGACAGCTCGTGCCTGTTGGAGTGCGGCTTGTGATGCCTCAGCTGGTACTGACTCTTGCTGTTGTTGTTGTTGTTGTGGCTGTTGTTGTTGTTGTTCTTGTTGTTGTTGTTGTGCAACGGTGTGACAGTGAGGAGCACAGGCTCGTCGAGGCGGGCGTTCGGCGACATGGTGCGCTTGTAGCTGCCCTCGCAGTCCGGGGCCCCGCGCTCGCGCCGATAAGCCAAATAGGAGGCCTTGGACTGGCTCCTGAAATAAAAAAAAGCACACGCAAAGAGCCTTAGAGATTAGTAGCTCGCTATCTCTCCTACATTGTGTGTATACAATGGTGGCGGTGTATCGCGCGAGTTTACGAGCTTGAGTCATCCGCGAACAGCTGTCGACTAGCGCTTCTACATGGGTTGTTTGAACAGAGAGTGTGTATCTGCATCTACGCGGTGAAAAATTTAAAAAAAATGTGTAGAGATAAGGCATGTGGGATCGGGTGTATGGTTGACGAACTTCCGTGAAGTAGACCCCAAAGAAGGTGACTTTGACACCAACTATTTCGTTTGACTCGTTATCTCTCGGTGTCGCGTTTGACGAGAAATAATTTCTAGCCGAACGATGCTTCGTTTAGATGAGAAAGGTACATTCCAAGTATTTCCAACAGCGAATCCTTTGTGAATTAATATACATGATATTTTTAATATAAACTGCACATTGTGCAGCAAGGGGGGGATGCATTAAAGTAAAACATCACGAGTCGAAGGTCGAAGTTGGCGCGAATCCAGAGTTTCGCAATCTGAGAAAATCCCATGTTGTTATTAATTGCTAGAATCGCTAACAACAATAAAAAGTGCAGCAACAACAAGGCGTTTTGTGAAATTTTGGTTTGGAAAAAAAAAACATACACTTATTCGGATGCTTGTGCCATGACTCACGGCTTCACTGAGACGTGCATGAAAATGTAAATACGTATTTCCAGTTGAGAAAAAAAAGGGAAAAAAATTACAGTAAGTAATTACAGGCACTGATTTATGGAAGAAAATAAATTTGCAGTTTAATTGAACACTCCTCGGCGCTACTTTTAACGATGTTTTATTGCAAAACGCGTGTAAAAATAGAGATAGAGTCTCCAGGGAAGCAAGGAAAACGCCAATCGTGTAAAATTTTCCTTCCCGGGTTACCTGAAAGCTCAAATTTCTCGCTTTCGTGTGCCCGACAAAAGAGACGCTCAGGGAATCGAGTTCCCTCGGCTCTTTGGCCGCGAGAAATTCCGCGCACGTACACTCGACGAGTTTCAACTACTTACATTTTTTTTTTTTTTAGCTCCGACGATGGAATAATAAAGCCCGACGCTCGCTGTGTGAAAATTCAAGAGAGGAAACTCGCGTTTTCCGTCCCTCGAGCGCACAATAATTGTACACACAATCGACGCATTTCACGCCATTTCTGGGTAACTTTTAAGTTTCACCCTGGACGCGATTGTATGACTTTTCCATCGAGTGTTAATGAACTTTGTAAGTACTACCAACGAAGCGGAAGCACCGGAGCGGTTGGCATTGCCAACAAAAAATCGCGCTCGTAAACACAATCGGATGGCTTTTTAAACGGGTTATTTAAGCATTTGCTTTCACAAAATCGTCTCTCTCTCTCTCTATCTCCGTGAGGGATGACGCCGAATAAAAATTTTACCAAGCGCCTGCAAGTGACCGTAACGACAATCACGTGCGACGAGCTGGATGAACTTGTCCCCCACGTAAATGACTAGAACCGAGCAGTGATGGAACTCACTTCCGGTTCAACTTTGTTTGCCATTGTGCGAACCAATGCATAAATGTACCTTATATGACATATTGCGTACAGCGACAGGCGAACGTGAGTAAGAGCGGCAACGATGCAAATGCGTACAGAGGATTCCCATTAGCGTCCATTAGGGCAGAGACTCGGAGATTACAATAAATTCAAGGCGAATTTCAACAATGAACAACAGATGAGGAGAAAGAACGACCTCGACCGATAAATTCGAGCAGTGAAACTTACTATTATTGCCCGCACTCGGCTGCAGCGGCATAGCAGTGGTGGTGTGTAGGTATTATGGCAGTGTGCTCCTCTTTCACCGGCGAGGACAAAAGTAGGTCCGATCGAGTGCGTGCGCGCCTGCGTATATGTGTGTTTGTTTAGACTCGCGAGGAGTCGTCGTATTGCGAAACGACAGAAGCTTGCATTTTTTTTTTTTTTTTTTCAACTTTGTATATTTTTTCTTCCTACTGTTTGTCCGTGCAAATGTTATCGCAAGAGCACGAAATACTTGAACGATGCTTCAGCGGCATTCTTTGGGCCAACGACTCGACCGCGATAACAGGGACTCTGTTTAATTTATGCATACGATCGTACGAGTACATTAAAAAAAAAAAAAAAGTGACTCATCACCAAGAACTGGCATCTTAAATACTTGGTTCAAGATTTTGGCTTTGATGAATGAAGCAGTTTTCGGCAGGAGTAGGTCCAATTTTCTCCCGAACAAGTAGACACTGCAGCTGGTGTGCTTTTCGCGAAGTTGAAAAACGAAGGGGTAAGAAAAATAAAACGCAGGGATTTTCGAGGATTTACGATTTAACGACGCCGTCGGGAGCTTTTATACGTGTGAAATATATACGCACGGCTGAGGGGGCATTTTTACTTTCTAATGGCCTTATAAGAGCGCGCGCGGCGCATAACTCAATTTTTCGACGGGATTTTTACGAGCTTCGTTTTTTCGGATCAGCCGGGGGAAGGCGCAGCGAGCGGCCGATCGATAAAAAGATATCTCTTTCTCCCGTCGCTGACAGCCCGACACGACTAATAAATCTAGTTTCCTCCTCCAACTCGCACGCGTACTTTTTGCCGTCATATTCACCGGAGGAGGATGGATTTTTTGTGCACCGCCCGTCAATTCCCGATTGAAACACACATCCGCGTACATATAATATGTTTTACATGGGTATGACTTTCGTTTGGCTTTCCGACGTTGGCAAATACTTTGTGTAAGTATACAAACACGCGCAGCACATTTTTGCCACCAGCAACGATCGGCTCGAGTTTGCGATTTCGCACACGCGTAACTTTCTTCGCTATCAAGCGCATACATATATGTATACGCAAAAGCTTCACCGTCAGCATCATCGAACGCCTCGTTCTTCTTTTGTTTGGTGTGACCAAAATACGGGGCGAGGAAATCAAGGGCACACATCCTGACGGAAGATTTATCGGGAGCGTAGGTCGATTTCACGCGCATTTGTTAACGCGAGCGCGTACCGGTCGACGTTTTCACGCTCGTTTGCGAGGAAATGGTCATCGTGTGAATGGCCCAGTTACCGAAAACCAATGGCGCACGTGCTCCGCGTGAAAAAAAAAAAAAAATACTTATCAAGACCCGACACGTTTCCATTACGCAATGTGTAGCTTCCGGCTCGTTCTGGTGATTGACTCGTGTTTTTGGCTGCTGTCATCGCTACCGTGACACCGGCTGAATTTAATGAGTATATACTTGAAAACTACCGGGCTTGTGGGCCCGTCAAGGTGAAAATCTATTCGAGGGAATGACTTGTCGATGAATCCAAGGGTACTGCTAACGTTATGGTGACTGAACAAATGTGTGTATGTACCCATGTCCGAGACGGATCGCAATGACGATGGATTATTTTTAATGTTTGGCTGCACCTACGGCACCGGCGCTATAAAAGTGATCCTCCCCTATACGCAATTTACATTCCAAGCTCCGAACGACGACTTGGTTTTAGAGGCTCACTTTTTTTTTTCGTCTAGATAACAAATTTATATTCTCATCCACGTTAGTCATCAGCGTTGAATCAATCTTCTCTCGCGCGTGTAAGATATCCTATAAACCAACACAGGTGGCAACCCCTCGATTTTTTTCTCTAGTTCACGACTCATCGCGAGAAAGTTGAAAGAAACGCTTTTTAAAATGCTGAAAACAAACTCATCCTCTGCGATGCTTACAGCGCTCCCGATCGAGCTGCGCTCGACCAATAAATTCTGACCTGCTCGACACTAGCTCGTTTGTTGTCCGAAGCGAGAAAAAATAGGTCAAAAAGGAAACACAACAAACGTGTACCTGCATATAATATTGCAGTATACTTCCAGAGGCTCTGTCGATGATTTTAAGCTCGCTCGTTCACCAGCACCGGCGGAAATGGTAATAAGAACGAGCATACACGTAATGATAACAATAATATCGACTTATCTACCCCTATGTGTGCTTTTATCGGGTGTATTATTATGTAGGTGCTTACTTTTTTTTTTTTTTTTTTTTTTCCCGTGTGCCGTCGTATACAGTCGCGTTTTTGTGCCTGGAACCGATGTGTGTATGCATACATAGGTATACCGTGCACGCGATGCTCATCGGCGTATACCTATATGTATACCTAACAGAGGAAACACGCATACACATGCGGCAAAAGCAGGTGTCCGAAGCCGATCGCTCGAGCGTGACGTCGAAACGTTGCCACCATGTTATACTGCTGCAGATGCCGCAGTGCCTTCGTTCATTCTCCCTTTTTTGTGTGAATATACTTATTCTTGCGCCACGTTTTTGTAATGCCGCTCCGTCCACTGGGGCAGATATTTTTCTAGATTTTTTTGTACGGATGACACAGTTTGTCGTTACAATTAAAGACCAATGATGTAATATTGTTGCTTCCAATTGTAAACCGTGCCATACGTATATATAGTATAAGAGCCGGCGTCAATCGACAGCGATGATGATTGTTCCTCGCGGTGTCTGCAAAGATCGGAGCACCGAACGAGATTTCCCACCGAACGTACCGATTTCCCGGGCGCTACTTTCGATGCGGGAGAGCGAGGAAAAAAAAGAAGGCCGAGTGTTTTCATTTTAGAAAACCGAGAGTCGGAGGTGCGTTTCGCTCTCGATCGGAGATCTGCCGCCAGACGATCCGTTAGCGCGGACGCCGGGAGAAATTAACTTTTGTCGCCGAACCGATTGACGCGTGGCGCTGTATTGGAAGAGGGAGAGACGACCCCCCCCCCCCCCCGAGTATCGGCTCGCTCGGCGACAAATTAGCCCTCATTCGTTGAGGAGACGACACATCCGAGAACTCATCCGTACAAAGAGGCATCCCATCGACGCTGGTGCTTGAGGATGATGGACGAGCCAGTGATGCCGATGACTTACAACCTCTATAGTATCGGCTTCCCAACCGCGCTCCAGTACCAGAGTATGTATATGCAGATGGACGCTCATCATC